TTACAAGCAACGTCCTTACAAAAAAAAAAAAAATTAAAGTAGCAAAACAAAAAAAGTGCATGACTAGCGAAAATCCAAATTTAAATTACGCATTTTGCTCCAATAGAATGTAAATGTTGTGAATTCGGTTCTAAGTAACCAAAATTAGCAATAGCAGCAAAACTTTAAAAAAAACTAACTCAAAAATAAACCTTGTTGTAAAACTATATTTGATATAGTTGTAGTTTGTTGGATAAGCTGATTAAATCACTAAATATCAATATGGCATTAATATTTATCGGTACAAATACATTCATACACACACTCACAAGCGCGCGCACACATCGTTGGTCACAGTTTACAGGTCAATAGGGGTCCAGGAGTCAAGTGTAAGGTACCTTAAAACGATTTAACAACCTATTAACGCAGAATACACATATGAAATGTGAATTACGAAAAAAAATACATGGCAATGACACTAACAAAACACACTTAAAAGCTCCCAACACAGCTACCGTTACACAAAACACACACACACACATACACAACCGAACACATACATAACGCAAGTCATGATCGTTATACTGTGGAGTTTCCGTTCCAGCTCCCTCGCGACGAGACCGAATCTCTCGAAATCACGACAAGATTAAACTACGGTGTGATTGAAATCTGTAAACTACGATGAGTTTCAACAGCGAACACTGACCAAGCCCAGGAAAAAACTACAAGCCAACTACGCAAAAAAAGTGAGAAGAAACGTCAGAAAATAAACGATACGGCATAAAAGACGCAAGTAGAGAATCGTGACGACAATCGGACAGAACGACGACAAAGCCGATGATGATGATGATGATGATGATGAAAACTGTGAATTCATAGATGCTCCCTTACTAATGATCAAAAACACAAATTCGCGATAGCGCGCGCTAACCATCTTTTTTTTAAGCTGAGATTGTTGTCGTTTCATCAATACTAATTATTAAAAAAAAGAAAAAAACGACGCTAGTCTTTCCTAGAGAGTCTCAGTGTTAAAGTCTGATTATGCTATTGCTACGGCAGCGCTGGCTGCTCGTAGTTATTGCAACTTTATGTGCAAGTGTCTCTATGGTCAGTCTGCGTGTGAATGCGTTTGATTCTTATGCCTGGGATTAACTTGAGATTAAAAAAAGTCGTATAACAGTTGATGTCTAGCTTCCCTCCCTAATCTTAATTCCCAGATAACGGTCTATACCTCCCTCCCGTTTAACCTACGACCTCCCTCCCGCTCTCTTAAAGTTTGTTTTTCGCTCTCCCTCGGTTACACTATTCTCTCGTCTTCCCTACGTTTTTAGGTTTATTCCCCGTGATTGGGTGCATTCTGTAGTTAACTAGAGGAGTCCCCTCCCCACATCCCA